CTTCTTGTTGAAAATCGCAAGTCTGATTGTTTTTATATTACATATATAGGTACTACATGTGGACCTCTTTCAGATTTGTTAATTTCGTGGTGATATCTTCAATTATGTAATTTTGATGATTGTTTTTGTCATTTTTGGTGAAAAGTGATATTTTTAAATTCTTGTTGAAAACAGCAAGTCCCATTGCTTTGATACTATACATATTGTTCATTTTCTGAGCACAAGATGAGCACAATAACATATTTGCATTTGTTGTTATATCAGTAATATTTCCACTGTCAACACTACACTGTTTCACTGTACTGTGGAAATAAGCATATGATAAATATATAATCACACAGTATTTTATCTTTGGTTGATATCAATGATTGCTGTGGCTTGGATTGATACAGTAATCACTTGCCATGAGTGCATGTGCTTCAATTGGGACCCTAAAACCTAGGATAGTTTCAGAACCGCGTTTATGTTGCCGAGACTGATCGCATTGCCCAAGCTTAGGCTAGTCGTGCCAGCAGTTTGGGAAGCACTACAGGCTCGAGTGAGAAGAGGGTTAGTCCTCCCATTTGACTACCAGTACCTTGGGTGCTGCTGCGTTGAGGGCTGGCAGTCAGACCTCCGATAAGAAAGGGGACCAAGCAGGGCAGGACATTGATTTGTCTCTCCCCCACTTCCGACAGTAATGAGACATTTCTAAGCCCCAGGGAACGATTTTCTGAAACGTCTAAATCCGAAGGGAAAATTTTAGGGGGGGGGGGGGTAAGAATACAAATCTTGTTCATTCACCGGAAGTGAACACCCTGTCGGGTCATTGTTGTCAGCTGCAAGAGGCCTGTATCATTGTATGGTCGAAGGGAGACAACTCTGGTGTCTCCAATCCGGAATGTTCGTGACTCTTCATCAGTGCAATCGTAAAATCCGAAGTGTGTTCAAAGTAATATGTAACGATTAACATGATTGGCTGCGTTTGCTATGAGGGGCCAATCAGTGAAGTGCTTTCATTTTACTTTTCACCAATGACGCCATTTTATTGCTTCAATTGTTAGCTGTGTTGGATCATTTTTTACAAGTTTCATGCAGCGATAATGGTGAACATGGTTACAAAAGATGTGTCAGCTGTTCGAGAGATCGATAAAGACATTAAGGACAAATTTCGATGAGCATGGCTTGACAAGCAAGTGACATTGACCGTGGAAGGAAGAAAGATGAAGTGGTAACTGAAAAATTTAGTGACTTCATCAGCAAGTGCGAGGTCCCGGGAAAGGTGCAGTGTCTGTATTATAATGATTTGTTCAACTACGGTTCTTGGACCCTGGCTACTTTATTTTCATTAAAAAATTAAAATTCTCATTCCCATTCCTGTTGCTACCTTTTCCCCAGAATACTGCCTCCACTACGGGTCTCTCCCCCTTAGATGACCCGCAGGTGTTCCCGCTGGGGAACGTTCCGACAACAGGCGTTTGATCGGACACGGCCTTGAAAAGGAGGGTTCAACGATGTCTGACCTTGCAGGTTCTGGTGGCCCCTGGAAGTTCGTTATCCAAAATGACTTCGTGAACCACACCATTGGGGAGGGGTGTAGGGAGGGCAATTGTCCTAGTGACCTGATGTTCATACTTTCACCTTTGGTCCTGAAGCAGTCGCTCTGGTAGTGCCATGGTTTCTGGGATCCGAGACGACAGGATCACAGGCAACAACGACTGCACAGCTCCCCTGATCTGGCAGAATACTGAATGTGGCAGGGGTGCAAAGACAGTGATGGGATGGGATGGCATCGGTCCCCTGTGGAAGAATATAGTCCTATATACATGTATGATTAACGCCTTCCGCTGGACCAAGCGCTATCCTATCGGTACGATGTTGGTGGACTGGTAAAAGGGGATGGCCACGTTCTGTGGAGTTTCTCAGCTTCTTAGTCAGAAACAGTCCACCACACCCTAAGAGCAGAGTTGCAATCCATTGACTTTTGGAGCCAGCACACTGGAATGTATTACGGTGGGTCTCCAGGACTCTGAAATCTCAGAGGCGGAACGCACCAGTCTCCTAGACCAGTAGACACATTTGTTAGCGGGACAACTCACAGCTATGTGTGATATCCTGCAGTGGCATCTGGCTCTCTTGGCAGGGGCCAGGATCAGGTGGTGGATCATCCCCTTTCTCGGGCGGTTGTGCCCCCACCCTCAGGTCACAAGGATGCAAGTTTGATGCTTCTGTCTGCGACAAGGGAACAGGCAAGTGTTTGGCAGGGGGCAGAGTCTGAACATTTGAATCGTTTCTGGGCATGGAGTTAGACACAGAGGTAGGCTTTGTGCACCCATTGTAGGCTTGTTGCCTCTGTGTCACTCCGAGAACTGACGAGCATCTTTGGCTTGAGATCTTAACGCAGTGTAGTTCCGCCAAGTGCAAAGCACTTATTGCAACACCTGTCTCACCTATGGGAACTGGAGAGCCGAGTAACTCTCGGACCAAGCGAGGGATGCCTTGCCCTGGTGGATGGCAATTGCCAACCTCAGGCAGGGGGTTCCCTTGGACTTTCAACCCTTAGTTCAGGACCGCAGAGTCTTGATCCTCATGGACAACACAGCGGTGGTCTCCTACATCAACAAGAAAGGGGGGACCAGGTCCCCATCGTGGATCTAACTGCACAGGGGTGCGGAACAGTCAGACGCACACCCTCTCCCCTATGGGCAGCTTCCAGACTGTTTCAGCTGTGGGACAGTCCCAAGTTGCACCTATTAGCCACACCCCGGAATGCCAAGCTCCCGGTGTATGTGACACTCCTGCCAACTCCAGGAGCATCGACCTTGGACTCATTATCGATCCTGCAAGCCCACACGGGCGCATATACCTTTCCTCCTGTCCTGCTGTTTTTCTGGGTACTAGAGAAACCTCTACAGCAGCACACCTGCATCTTGACGCTGGTGGCGCCAAACAGGCAAACCAACACCTGGTTTCACTACTGTTGGAAATGTTAGTTGAGACACCGGTAGTGCTTCCAGACATCCCGGATCTGCTGCTCCAGCGGGATGGCACACTATCAATGAGCGCAGCTAACTAACACGCGGGAGGCTCTCAGTAGATAGCACAGATGGAAGGTTTATCTGAGTGGGCTGCCAACGTTCTGGCCTGGCGAATAGGGGTTCCACCAATGCAACCTACGACTTCAAGTGGCAGGCATACGTTGATTGGTGTAGTGAAAGGGAGATTGATCCATATCACCACACTGTTGGCCAGGTTGCTGATTCTTCGTCCACCGGTTTGACAACCACCCTTTGAACCGCTGGAATCAGCACCACTGAAATATTTGGCATGGAAAACAGTCTGCCTACTAATTCTAACTAATTATGTCTAATTCTGAGTTAGGGGCTCTGTCCCTTTCGGATGGTTGTGCCACCTTTATGGACAATCAATCTGTGCTAGAGACCCAAATCGGGTTTCTTGCTAGGAACCAAATCCCAGGGTATGATCCACAGCCGATCGCCATCCCCCCTCTGGCCAATATTGTTGGCTAGGAGGATCAGGACAAGTACAAGCGCATGAGGGTCATGCGATCACAAACTCCTCTAGCGTGTCCTGAGGGCAGGCTGCTGGAGAACGCAAAATGTCTTCATCTATTATTGCCTAAGAGACGCGTATTCCATTGAGGAAGGTCTTTTTAGGGTGGGTCCCATCGTTGCGGGTCAAACTTGGATTGTTGACCCAGCCCAAACGACCACAGGGATCCCTGCGCATAGGCCATGCAGCAGTCTTGGCTACAGATTTGTGCAAAGAATTTTCTCTCGTCAGTGCTCCTTGGACATCCCAGATCTCGCTTTTCAGCCTATGCCCTCATGCAGAACTGTTTCGGCCTCTTCTTTGGAATGCTAGTTACTCCATATTGGGTTTGGGTCTAGCCCTTCAGGTAATGCCGACCCTGTCACCCTATCAGCAGTATGCTTTTACCAATGGGATGACATCGGTAAGGTAAAACACCATTTTTCACTGGTCATAGCTAGGTGGTAGTCATAAGTCATAAGTTCGAGTACTCTGTTATTTTCTGTTTTGCTCGGAAACCCGCCACCCCCCGGAATCTGACTATGGCTACAGTTCAAAAAGTCATTAATTGAACATAGTGAATTTAGGCAGAGGGTTTTCAACCCGCCAATTCACATAGTTATTACCCACCATAGATTCCGGATCCCTCTCGACCACCCCACTTTTCGTTTTGCTTAGTCCTCTCATACAGAGAAAACAGGGGAGTAAAGACAGGGCAAGATGGCGCTGTCCTCTTTGCCTCGGTCACGTGTTGCGTGACATGGAAGAAAATCAATGCCTACAGTTCAAAATAGTCGTTTTGACTGACCAGAGTATATGGTGATTATGAACTATGTGAATTGGCGGATTGAAAACCCTCTGCCTAAATTTAACATGTCACTATATTTCGCAAAATATATTCACAAACCAAATTGAATTCCCTTCAGCGTGATATGGTAGCTTTCCTAAACAAAATTGCAGATCAGATTTGATAATAAATTGAAGATAATATTTGGAATTCTGCACCCGATTGTAACAAAATTTAATTTGACATGTTCCGTTTTGTTTTGCGGTGAACATCTCGTTGAGCACCTTTCATTATGTTCATTGTGTGTGTAAATAATGTTGGCACCAACTTATTCAGGATTTCGATTCACGCAATATTATACTGAGCACAAGTTTGATCTCGTTAGTCCACGTATTATGCCCACAATTGTGACACACTTAATTTGACATGCTCCGTCTTGTTTTTTTTTTCGGAAAGAGGAATAACACGTTGAGCACATTATATGATGTTCATTGTGTGTGTATTTATGTTTGGCACCGAGGTTATACGGGAGGTTATACGGGAGGTCTGTCTCTAGGCGTGGCTGTAAAGCCATCCCCTGGAAACCAAGTTTACACTTCACTGTATTATCACTGTATCTGATGTCTCCACGAATAAATATCCTGATTGTATCACCAATACCTTCAACAGTTCAACAGTTTAATATATAAGTCTGTTACACGTGAAAGGAAAGTACTTCTTGCGCAAAAAAGAAACTTCAAAATGAAATTTCCTGAGAGAAAAGTTTTGTCCCACCTCAAGTACCAGCAGTGCTATTATTTGAAAATGACGAAGGCAAGCTAACACGTCTGAGATGTGGAGATAAGCCACCATGGTGATTACATGCACGAGTATGGGTTAGTTGCATATTGACTGTTACTTGCTCCTAGTGAACTTTTATGTTATATTTATATGGTATTTCTCGCAGGAAAAATGTAAATTTGAAAGTAATTTCCGGATAGGAAAGTTTCTGTTTTACTGTGAGTACCATCAATGTCACTATTTGAGAATGATGAAATGAAAGTTGAAACGTCTGAGCCGTGGAGAAAGGCCACCGTGGTGGTTACATGTAATATGTGTATAGGACAGCTTCATACTGACTGTTACTTATTCGCAGTGACCTTTTCATTTATCTCTTTGTGGTTATATAAATATAAGATTAGGAGATTTACAGTTTCCTATACAAAGAGTAAAGCCCAAAATAAACGAAAAAGATTACTTGAATTGGAGAAATCAATTAAAGATTGTGAATGAAAATTAGATGATGAGAATGATATGGCACTTTATACTGATTTGAAACTACAGTTGGAAAACACCTTGGAAGAAGAAACTCGTGGGTTAATAATCAGGTCCAGGTGTAACTATTATGAGATGGGGAAAAAAGTAATAGGTATTTTTTAGGTTTAGAAAGAACAAATAAAACACGGTCAACAGTGAGGCGTCTGAATGTTGATGGTAGTGAAATTAGTGACCAATATAAGATAAATAAATGTATTAAAGAATTCTACTCTAAACTTTATGCTGTAAAGCCAACTGATCTCTATAGCAGTAATGCTGAGCTGTTTTTGAAAAGTGATAACATTCCCCGTTTAGATGCAGAGGCAAAAAAGAAGTGTGAGGGAAAATTAACAATGTCAGAATGTTATTCAGCACTCCAATCATTGCCTAACAATACAACACCAGGGAACGATGGTCTCTCTGCTGATTTTTATAAGACATTTTGACCAGTAATAGGATGATATTTGCTTAATAGTATTAATTATTCATATCATAAAGGTCTATTGGGAGTGTCACAAAGACAGGGTGTCATCACATTAATTGTCAAAAAAGGTAAAGATAAAACATATATTTCAAATTAGCGGCCAATATCTTTAATAAATGTAGATGTTAAAATTGCATCCAAAGCGTATGCTTAATGTCTTGCCTTCCATAATTCATCCAGACCAATGTGCATTTGTAAAAGGCCGCTACATCGGGGATGCTATACGAACAGTTCTTGATCTTATGTGGTACTCTAAACAGAATGATATGTCAGTGTTCTAGTGTCTCTAGATTTTCACAAGGCATTTGATTCGGTCGACCATAGGTTTATTATTGAAGCCTTAAGAGTTTTAACTTTGGTGAA